CCTGTAAACGAATCAGCAAAGTGGTTAAAGTTTTCCATGGATTTGACTGAATTCCAGCCTAGGGAACCCCATAAAAAGGAGTGCTAGAGAAGTGGCATGGCAGAGGGCAAGAAAGGAGGGTAGACCTCAGGGAGGAGAGCATGTCAGCTACAAAGTGCACACACATGCGAGATGAACTTGTGAACACACGTCCAAGTTGGCTGATCTATAAAGATCCTGTTTTTATAACATGCTCCCGAAGCATCTTACTAAAATGAGCAAATGACTTTGATTTCAAAGTAGCCTTTCAAGAACTTTTAAAAACATTTTCAACACTACCAACAAACAAGGCAGAGGTGGCTTTCTCCTCGAGACCGGCTCCACACCCTGAACCTTGTATTTCTGAATATTGCTTCAAGAAGCAAAGTTTTCTCCACCTCTTTGCCTTGAAACAATCGAAGCAGCTGGGAAGTACAGCTTGACTTTATTAGTGATTTAAAACACACCCTTGGAAACCAAGAGAGCTTTTTTTTTTTTTTTTTTTTTTGCCCATCCAGGTGGGAAGCATGTTCCAGCAAATGGGAACAACACTTAGGAAAGTTCTCAAACAGATAATGCCATAAGAGTCAGACTTCAAAAAAATCTACCAGCCAGCCATCCACCCAACAAAAGGCAAAGAGAACCTGGTGAGAAAACTAAGCCTACCATATAAAGACGGAGATAAAATAGTTCAGCTGCCAAGATTTGGCATCTTTAAAAATGCCTTTTCAATCTTTAACTTTTGTCTGCTTGGTAGTCTAGCAACCAAGTGCCAAAAAGCAAACTCCACCCAAAACAAAATGAAACAATACAGACACTTTGTTTCACGTGTGTGTGTGTGTGTGTGTGTGTGTGTAACAGTCTCTGTGTGCAAAGATAGACATCTGCTTTCAGACAATTAAAGCAGAAAACATTCTGATTGTAGATGGCAGGAAGGAAGCTGGGAGAGAGCAAAAAAGCAACAAGAAAATGTGTAATGCGGGATGAGGGTATAGTTTCCACACACCGGGCTAAAGCAAGGTTTACACTCTTAAGCAATAAAAACAAACCATTAAGCTCAGTCCAGCACTGTCAGGAAGTATAAAACAGTTCTTGAAACTTTGCAGTTACTATACAAAAGCTTTTCATAAACTCTGTTTCCTGATCTTCATTAAATGTTAACATCAAGTTGCCATGGGGCAATTAGCTTGCCTCCTGAAATCAATAAAAAATCAACAATTTGGAAATAGTTGTACAGTAAAATAGTTCAATAATTATTCTCTCATAGTGTTGTGGCCAAGCGGTTCCAGGGAAAATGCAGTCCAGATGAGAGCCTGCCCCTTAGGAGAGGAGCTTGAAGCAGATGGGTGCCTTGCTAAGAGATCCCCCTCATCCAAGAGCGCTGTGAAGATGATAATGCGTGCCTGGCCCAGGCACGGAGCGAGGGGGGCCCAGGGTGAACACCAGCTCCGAAGCTGCCTTCAAGGGAATGTCTGGTGTAGCCCTAGCAGAGGACCTGGGGATTTAATTCAAAGTCTAGGGTCACACTCAAAATGACCAACCCAGTGGGAAGAAAGTGAGGGGCTCTACACTTAGCATTGGATCTCCAGACAGGAAAAATGCCATTTTTGGGATGGAGATGGTTTCTGTGTGTATACCCACTCATATATGTATGCACTCACAAGAGCGTGTTTACTTGGGATTAGGAGTACATTCATTCCAGTACTACTCCAACAAATGTCCAAAGCTGAGTTGCTGCAAAGGAACCTTCAAAGTGGTCCTGAAAAGTAAAATGAGTCTATTCAAAATGGCCTCAGAGGATATTACTGAAAAGAGATGCCAATACCAGGCAAAGATAAGAAGTTACTTCTTTGCTGACTCCCTAACTTTTTCTAGTCTGAGTCTATTACTTAGGCGCTTTATTGGAAGCCAAGTACCGCACAGAAAATTCCAATATTCATTCAGTCAAACCTCAAATACCAGCTCTAAAAGCTTTCTACCACCCTTGAGGTTCATTGGAGTTGTGGAGCAAAATAACTTATAACTTAAAAAAAAACCAAGCATCATTTTTAGTGTAAACAAACGCTTCAAATGTATGACATCTATTTGCTGCCTTCAAAGGGAAAACTTTAAACTCAGACGCTTGGCACTAAGATCACACAGGAACAGCTCAGTGGACTGACTTAAGTGTTAAACTTTTTTAAAGCACATTTTTAAGGCCTTGCACCTGCTCCCCCATCCACATAGATGTACTGACACGTATTCGACTAAACTGACTACATACATGCCCAAGCAAGCAGGGGGAGCAGATTTTACAAGATAAGCAACCAAGTGTTTTCATGTCTGAGGGTGGCTAGAACACAAAATTGCCAGTCATCTAGTGGGGGAAAAGAATGCTTTGAAAAAAAACATGTAGGGCATCATTTTAGATTTGGGGAAGTACAGTCAGATGCCATGCTGTATACAGGTTTGCTTTTTGGTTCCCTTTCAACTGCTTCTTGGAGAAGGGCCACACTTAGTTCATTTCTGCAGTTATGATTTAAGAAGTCACCAAAGCATTGCTGCTTAAGCTCGTCCTCTGACTTCACCTGGGAAGTCGAAATGCAGGCTCTCAGGCCTCAGCCCAGACCCACAGAGAGAATCTACGCCATAACGCGCTTGTAGGGGGTCTGGATTCACATTAAACTGACATACTCCTTAAGGCATTACTGGTGATTTGGATGTACATTAACATCTAAGAAGTTTTATTTAGAACATCGGCCTCCCAAGTTAGGTAGAAATTCACTTTGAAGTCTGCAGGGCAGGGAAACAGAAAATTCTGCCCTGGAGAATACCATAAGGCTGTAATTTATGTCAGCAGGGTGGAAGAAAGAGGAAAAGCAATTTACCTGAGTGGAGCAGACTTGCCTGTTATCCCTGATCTTACCCTATTCGTCCCCTGCAGAAAAGTAAAACAGAAAAGCAGAAATGCCAGGATGTCCCTACTTCCACAGAGCACTGCTCTGGGTCCCAATTATTCTAGATTTTACTCATTACTGAAAGGCTGTCTTCCTCCTGCCTTATAATAAGTAAAGGGGCTGTGGCATATAAACATTCAGTGAATTAACATCTTAACATTAACAGGACAGAATAAAAATATGCCTTTTAAACAGCCCTTGCATGCACTTTCAATTGCATGGATGACTTTGCTTCCTCCCAGGAAAAAATGAAGAACAAAAAAATAAATACAAACTTGGTAGGTTATCCTATGATTATGTAGCTTTCTATACACGCCAGTTTCACAGAGCTTTCTCAGGTCTCTGGAGGAACAATTTAAAGTGGCAACCGGAGTAGAAGCATGAAAAGATGGAAGTGCAGACAGATGTGTAAAACACTCTTCTACCCCTGCCCGGCCCTGGAAGCTAAGAGATGAACCGAGCAGGCCTGAGGTGCCATGCAGGTTAACCCCAAGCCAGGGAGGCACACGCAGTGGAGACAAGCACAAAAACAGGTGACACAATTTAATTAATTTTGAAAGACGATCCCTGAAAATTCAGGAAACACCACTTTTTTTTAAAGCCAACTCTAAAGTGTTTGGAAAGATCCCACAGAATTATGACTGTAATTCCAGAAATTGTCATGATGTTAGTTACGACCCTGTTCCTCAAAATGAAGAATGAGAGCTAACCTGTCTGGAAGGATGCAGAATGTATGTAAGAAATTGCTTTTCACGTGAGCTGCCATGAAGGTCAGTGTCCTTGGTTATTATAAAACCTTTAAAACTAAACCGAAACTGAAAATGCCATCATGTACACACATGTGATATTTATTATAAACATCTTCATGTACTTATGCTCATATATTTTTATATAGATATTAAATATACAGATCTATATTGCAAGAGATCACATTTGAGCTGACGTTATTAAAAGCAATTTTAACCAAGGAAATCAGATCCTATCAAATGGAGAACTCCAAAGGGTGGATGGAACTACCAAAAGGTGAAATTTTTTTTTTCAAAAAGTGAAATTCTTGCACTAGATTTTCATCTAGGGAATTCAGAAATGGAAAAATGCAAGCTATTGTTTTTTAAGATGTTAAGACTGCAATCTGCCCCTCATTTCCACAGCAAGAGAGCGAAAGGCCAGAGGAGGCAGCTAACCTCTCCTCTGTACTTGAGTCTCGGTTCTACCTACACCAAGGGCCATGAATAGGGTCAAAGGAAGCAAGATTTTCAAAGAATACTAGATCATTAATTTGTAAGTAAGGCATAGAGAACCTCAGCATCCCCCGCCCAAAAGGTACTATGTCCACTGTCAACTGAGACTCCTGGGAAGAGTCTGATTGTGGGTCTGTTCCTTTACAAACGCTAATTTTTAAAGCCAGTTTGGAGGCCCGAGTTAAGAGTGGAGATTAGAACTAGGTTTCCAGCATCAAGGCAGGGTTAGAAGGGATGCAGTGACCAGGAAATTGGCCTAAACACTGCCAGTAAAACAGGAATTGTGGGTTCCCTGATCTGACAAATACAACCACGGAAGCCTTCCTGGCTTTTGACTCCGAGCTGGGGCACAGGAGCTCTGCACTGCTAAGTGTTCATTCTGAGCAGCCTAATTTGACTTCATTCTGCTTTGGGCTTCAGGCCAATTGGCAGATGTTGCTGCAGAAGCTGATCTCAGACACTTTCCCTTTCTAATTTTTTGGCACCGTTGCCTCCGCTGCATGGGATATCATCTCTGAAACTTTATCTTAGGTTCCCTGGGTTTTGCTTGTTTTGTAGGCTTTGGTTTTCTTTTAAATCTCCCTGCCTAAAGAGATTATGAAAAACACTAAATCATCGGTAATTCCTTCAGTGTAAATACGAATTTTCAAATGACTTGCTTGCAATCTCCTGACCATTCCTTACCTTTCCCCTACCCCCTCTCTGGAATAAGTAACTGCAGAGACAAAAACGCATACAACACAAGGTCATCATTGTGAGCCAGCGCCGTACAAACACACCAGTCTCTTGCACAGGATGGACTCTATAGAGTGAAATGCCAGAGCTTTGATATTTATTATCTGAAATAGGTTTAACATTTGGAGAAATGTGTTCAAACACGTAACCTTGGAAAGAAAAGCAAGCCGATCGGTTGGAGAACAGGGTGCAGGCAGCAAACATAATGTGCACAATTGTGTTGTGTCTGGGGAAAGTCAAAAAACTGAGTACTCTGGGGCCATAAACAGCTCCCTGCTGTTTTCAACAAATCCATTGTTAGGGCCACAAGCTATCAATTTTAAATATACATGACCACAATATCAACAATGAAGATACCTTATGTTTTATTTAATACTTTGGCCAGATCATTCCCCTGGAAGGGATCCCTAGTTTAGGGAAGAAGAACAAAAATCATCATCCACTTAGCTGCATAGTCATCATTTTCTAGTTATTACTATTGGTCCTGCTTTATTCTGCAAATGAAGAGGTGGGAAAAGGGATTCCGTATGGTATCACCAACTGTCTCATTCTTATCCAAATATTCCCTCTAATAAGGATGAGAGTTCTCATGGACAATCACTCTGCAGCATTCCTGAGAATTGAATAATATAATAATCTTGAAAGTCAGCAGAGTGGATTATCCGCTTTTTTTTTTTTTTTCTGGACTTGAACTTGTGAACTTAACAGTAGCGCGCTGCAAAAAAAAAAAAAAAAAAAAAAAAAAAAAAAAAAAAAAAAAAAAAAAGCAAATGTGCTGGGCACTTTGCCGGAGTAACCTTCTGTGTAGACTTTTCATCTTAAATACACACAACTGAAAACAACTACGGCTTTTGGAAAATTATATACAAACCCGATACTTCTTTTGATTACATATAAATACAAATTAGCTATTTTTTTTCTAAAAAGTGGTTATAATAGTAAATAAATACAAAATAAATCTGACCATTATACTTCATGTGCTGGGGTTGAACCCATATAAAATGTACAACTAAATACATTTTTAAATCTTTAAGGAATAATTCTCTGATTAAAATATTTGTTTTCCCAACTTCTTTTCGTAGATATAAATATATTTTCAAAATAGCTGTGTTTTTTTTCCACTCCATTCCATAAATAAAGTCTTCATTGGGAAATATTAAAGTGTCAACTGGTTTTGTTTGGGGGGGTTGGGGGAGGGTTTTTTTTTTTTTTGCTTTTTTCTAAAATATATATATATGTGTGTGTGTGTATATATATATATTTTTTTTTTTTACTTTTTTTTTTTTTTTGCTGTGCTAACGACACCCACAACCCTCCACAACCATGTCCTGATAGTTCTTTAACACAACCTTTTCATTTTCATCAAGGTACAGCATGGAGATAGCACTCAGGTCCGTGGGGACACAACACGCCTTTGGGATCTTGGAGTTCACAGAGTTGACTAATGTCTGAACGATGGCGTGATTAGTGGAGTTGAGGTGATCGGCCAGCGGAAAAGGGCACTCCCCCTGGCAGTAGAAGGCATGATACCCTGGAGGGGCCACAATCCAGTCATTCCACCCCACGTCACTGAAGTCCACGTACAAAGGCTGTCTCTTGCAGCTAGACTTGAGGCGTTTGCGCTGCTTGTGTTTCGCTTGACGCTTCTCTCTTTTGTGCAGAGGATGACCTTTCCCATCGTGGCCAAAAGTTACCAGCAAGGGCCGTATCTGCGACCAGCTGTGTTCGTCCTGGTGCAAAGACCTGCTAATCCTGACGTGCCTCTTTGAGACATCGTGCTTCTCCTCTAAATGGGCCACTTCCACCACAAACCCGTGGTTGGCGTGTCCCTGCGCAGTCCACCGCATCACTGCAGGGGTGACATCGAAACTTTCCCACCGGCTAGTGTTCTCATTCACCAACCTGGTGTCCAAAAGTCTGGTCATGGGGAGCGGTGAGTTGGCTGTGGCAGGTTTTATAATTTCATAAATATTAATTCGGTGATGGAAACTGGCATTGTCTCCCAAAGCTTCCTGCATTTGCTCCCGAAAGACCTGAAGTTCTGCTGAAGTGATAAACTCTTCGGTGGGGATAGAACTTAAATTAAAGAAGAATCGCCGGGTCGTTTTCCCACTGATTTCTGGCAGTTCTTCCAAGGATTCTAATTTAATAAAGACAGAGAAGAAAAGAAGACAAATCATTCAATACAAGAAGTAATAACCTGATTAGGCATGAGAATGTTTGAGTCTCACTGAAGGATTTGACTCGGCTCATGCAAAAGTCTGCAACCAGAAAATAAAACCTCAAGGGTGGGTGTAACTCCAAAGTGCAAAGCTTGCTAGCATACACAGGGCCCTTGGTTCATTCTCGGTCACACACACACACAAACACAAGCACACACAGAGAAAGAAAAGAAAAACATCATTTAAAAAATACTCTCTCCTTTATTTATATGGTCATGTCAACATGCATGCCATGAAACAAATTTCCTAATTAATTGTTGTGCTTTTGATCTAATACAAGGACATGGTTTCCAGGCAGCTATAATAATGGGTAAAATGCTGAAGCATTTCTTTGGAACTCACATACTTGAGGGCAAAAATGTCAGGACTATAGTCAGTAGAGGTCTAATGAGTGAGGAGTTGAGGAAATTATTGCATTTCTTTAGGGAAAAAAAGGCTTTAATGTCAATCCCTTAAGCAATATTCTAAAACATTACTCTGCAATTTAGATGATTTACAAATCTTGATATACAGATTTCAGCTTCCTAATTAAAGACTCTGAAACTCAACATCACCGATGACATTTTGCAAAGCATACCCTACCATTTTACTCAAAAGTCCAGAGACAAAAGCATTTACAGGGATCTACTTTGGAAACGCATGGGTGGTACTAAGAACTGTAGTAATTAAAGTAGAACGATTTCCAGAGAAATAGCTTCCTGATTGTTTGTTCTCTCACCTCCTTATGACCTTAAGGATCAAAATGTCATTTCAGATGCTTCTGGAAAAAAAAAAACCACTTTGTCTTCTGTTTGTATTTTCTTTATATTTAACAGCCATATAAAAAATGGCTATCCCAATAACAGATTGCATGATAGACAAGAGAAATAGAAAAAATGAATAAAAATACCATTACGAGTTTCAGAAGCAATCTCATCTTACCACAGAATCATTTTTCTATGTCTGTGATCATTGTCTCAGAGCCATTTAAACGGCCTTGCATAACAATCTGTCTCTTTCAGATTCCTGCACTGCAGTTCTAAGACATATTATTTTCTTAGTAAACAGTAAAATATAACCTGGCACCTTGAATGCTAGTAATTGACCAGTCATCAGGGGCACATTATTATTATTAAATCAAGAGTATATATCACTAGAGTTTGAAATATTTGGATTTATATTCTTCTAGATTTACTGCATCCTCTTATTTATGTCAAAAAAATAGTCACCTGCTTCACTTAGGACCTCAACTCAAGTGCTTACAAAATATATGTTGACATAGTTCTACGTAAGAACTATGTAAGTTCTATGTAAGAAAAGATTATCTTATTAATTTTTTAAAAATTATTAATTTTAAAGTTTCAAAACAAAGAGCTATAGTTGTTCACAGAGTCTAGATCAGTGATGGTAAACCTTTTATAGCTTTCAGTGATACAAACAGCAAGCTGTTGCACTCGTGCCATAAGTTTACCACCACTGATAGAGATGCAAAAGGAGAGTCATGTCAGATGGTTCATTCCCAGGTTTTACCTGCAGAAACCTTCCCCACCAGAGAGTCTGCCACTCCAAGCTCAGTAGAAGCACAGAGTTGGCCTGGCGCCCAAGGTATGGAGTGATGCTTTCATACAGTGGTGCTAAACTTCAGCTTTCAGATACAACTAGGGGCCATTACATCTCCAATGCAGATGCTAATTCAGTGAGTCTGAGGAGGGGCCTGAGTTCTACATTCCCAGGGAGCTCTTAAAAGGATGTTTCAAGTTGATGAAGCACACATTGGATGTCAAGGTTTTAAAGGATGTTTTCCACATTCAAGCATTGCCAGAGGAGTACCTTTTTAAGTTGCCTTTCTTCTATATAATAATATGCACAGTATCATTTAGTGTTGGCCAAGGAGTAACAGTCAAGGCTATAGGAGGCCAGAGAAAGACTCGAACAGAAGGGTCTCTGACAATTCTTCTAGACATGGAGACTACCCATGAATATTACCCAAAGGATAATCTTCCATAGTCCTTTGGTGCCCCGTAATCCAACTTTGCTGGGACACCTAAGATCAATTCACATTCTGAATCCCACTGTAAGACAATGGTTCTTTGGGCTAGGTGTGATCACTAAAATCACTCTCCCCCCAAAAGAACCAGGGGTCCTTCCAGTGGCCCAAACAAGTACCGAGCATTGCTTCTTTTTTAAAGTCCCTTCTTCCTACCACCAGGAAGCCACTGCTTCTGTTGCAGGCACCTTCCAAGAATGTGAGAATTAGTAGCATTCCCCCCAGGCCCACACACTAAACTGGAAACCAAATGAGCTCTCTGCTTCCTAATGCCAGCACATTGAGACACTCCGGATTCTTTCATAGAGAGGCAAAAAAGGCATACGACCCAGGCAACTCCACGAATAGCTCTGTATTCATCAGAGTACCTAGAGAAATCACAATCAACAAAAGTCCCAAATCCCAGTCCAAAAGGACAAAGTAAAGATGTGATCAGCACAGGCACATGTATGCATGGCTGGAGGACGAGAATAAAGGGACAATGTCCAGTGAGACAGAGAAGTAAATGAAGTCTGGAAGCTGAGTATAAAGAGAGGCATAAAACAGGATAATAACCTTCTAAAATAAAAATAAAATCATAGAAAAGTGCCTCTCTCCAACCAGAAACACAGAAAACCGCAATTTCCCATGGTTCGAAATTTCACTGGAGGTAAGAAGACTTATCAAAGCAGACTGGCTTCGTGGCCTCAGCAAAAGAGAAAATTCCACTCTTACATAGTAACAGGCCATACAAAGCCCTTTCTCTAAACTTCTAATTGCACTTGCATCAAGCTAATCCTTGAAAAAACCCTGTCCTACTCTCACTACAGAGGCCTGCAGTAGGACAGCAGACTCCAGGCACTGTTGTAAGTCAGCTCTGCTCACAGAAACCTCCTGACCCCAGGAAATCAGTGCCCAAGGTTAGGGCACATGCAGCCTCCTCCCCCAAGAGAAAAGCTTCAATCTTTTCTTGAGGGTGGAGGATTCCAAAACTATTTGAAACAAAGCCAATTACATCTACAAATCACAGCAAGCCTGGGGACTCAGAAAATACAGTGTAGGTAATCTATGATTTGGGGAGGCTTATACAGTTGTTAATTCCCCGTAAATATCCCTTTTGAATCAGCTGAATTTGCTGAGAAGTTTGAAGAGTCTCAACCTGAGTTTATGCGCCTCTGACATTATCAACCAGGTGGAGAGAGCCATGGCTATGAAAATGTGGGAAAATGAAGAAAATAAGGCAAAAATTTGACCTGTTTTCTACAAGTGAAGACCTAATTCAGTCATATGCACTATGCTGATTATTCATCCTCTACCTCAAACTTATCCAAAGGAGTAGTAGAGATCTACTCTGGCTCCCTCTCTCCTAGAGAAAGAGAAAATATAGCATAAAAAACCATCATAATAATGTTAAGTGGCTGCTCTTTTGTGACAGTCTTGTGCTCATAACGTTGTATGAATCATCTCACCACAAACTGATTAGCGAGGAACCCAGATCATCTCCACTGTGTGAGTGAAAGAGCTCAGAGAGGTTATGTAATTTACCTAAGGTCACAGGGCTATGAACTGGAGTGTACTGAGGTGCCCAAGTTTCCAGCCACTAGACGGCACTGGCTCACAGGGGAGGAGTCTGAACCTTAAGCAACAGTCAAAACTATCCAGGCATATTAATATTTAGTGCAATGGCAACTGCAGAGTCAGTTCTGTGCTAACTACACGACAGGAACATACTGCCAGGCATGGTGCAGACAGTGGACAGAACTAAAGGAGCCAGAAAGTAAAGTGGCACAGGTCCACTGGCTCATGCAGATCTTATTTAGAACCACTGCTATTTTGTGACTGTTATTTCTACAGTCACAAAGCATGGTAAGTTTTATTTTAAAAGTAAGTTATCATTAGTCTTTGAGAATTTTGCAACACTCTTTGGATAGAAAAAAAAAAACCTATACCAAAACAGTAACAACACTTGTAAATATTCTAGAAAATCAATAAAGTTGGACATCTCTGCCTTACAACAAAACTCAAGGGGCTGTGTATGATAGACCAGATTTTCTAGAAGATAAAAATAATTATTACACCAAGAAATAAAGGGATGGAGTGCAAAAGGTTACAGAGACTAAGTTTTATTTTAGGACAACAAAGGCAGTGGCAACTAAAGTAAAGAAGAGCCCAGCAGTCCTCAGTAACCCTGGTTTGGCTTCTGCTCGCCCTGGACACCAGCACCTCCGCAACGATCACCATCCTGCTTACCACTGACTACTTACTGAAATATCCAAAGCACAAGTCCATGAGACAAAGCAGCTCAATAAGAAGGAATCAAGAAGGAACAGTCAGAATCATAAAAAAGAAGTGGAGCCAACTATGTCAGTGACAAAAACTCCCATGGAGCACCCAAAGTTCAATGTCCCAGAGCATTTTCCTATGCAGCAACTGTCCTGCCCATAGGGCCTTTGTAATCACACTGTCCCACCTGGGGTGCTAGCGAAGGTGAGCACTGGTTGAGCATGGCTGCACATCTCCATTCTGTGACATGCTTTCTGAGAATCTGTGACATGCTTTCTCTAGCACAGAGCAATGGGTTGTTTCTACAACTTTCTTATACTTTCAAGGTAATTACATCTTCAAGGGAATTACATTTGCGGGAACAGAATTCAACCCTATTTGAAAGCTAAATTTAGTCCCATATAGGCAAATAATTCGATTATTTCATGCAATAAGAAAGACTGTGTCCTCTAAAGTCTGGAGAGCAAGTACATGGTACTTGTACGTTCTGATCTTTTTGATCAAAAGGCTTTTTGCAACCAACCAACGTCAATGTGTCTCTAAGGGCAGCAAAGCATAACCCAGTTGTTAAGGTGATTTTTCTACACTCAGTGCAGTCCTAAAAGACCCATATGGTTGATGCATTTCTAACAACTTCTAAAAAGAGAACTTTAGCACAGGTTGTGTGCTTCCCAAGCCACTGTAGAAAGGCCTGAAATAATATCCAACAGGAGAAATGACAACTGATAATGGTGTCTCAAATCACTCATTTTGGAGTCTGAACATACACACATTAGAAAGAACTCCATCCATGCATCTCGTCGCATAATTCTACCAAATCATCTGACATTACTTACCAAAAAAAAAAAAAAACCCTCAACAAGTACTTTAATAGGGTTCTTTTGGTTCTTTAGTAAGTGAGAGCTATTAACCTTGTAGAAACTAAATTCTGCTTTGGGGCCAGCAGCCTTAATCACAAGGTTTATTAAAAGATTTTTAGTAGCATGTGTGGTATAAGAATGCTTATAAAAATCAAATTCTTGGTTACACAACAATGAATAGCCTTCAAAAAGTGCAATATCCAGCCTAATGATGGTATTCTTGTCACAATGAGGAAAGAGATTTGTTGAAAGTGAGGACCAACATTACATAGCTTTTCTCTATCATCTGAATGCACTAAGATGTGAAATTATTATTGCAAGCTGACTTTAACTTGGTAATTGCTGTACTGTTTGACACACAATATTCACATTTTTAAACATGTAAATTCAATTTAAAGAATCAAGCACACATTCAAGTGAAAATAACATTCGAATAATATATTGCCAAAGTTTTAACCAAGTCACTTCTAGATAAAGTAAGAGAATGATAATGCAGGCTGGTTGATGCAATCATCACTCAGTTGAATGCTTTAGGTATTACCTGACTTAAATGAGCTTACTTTCAAGGTAGAAAAAAATCACAGTACCTTCCTGGCCTTATGAATAAAGTTAAGGATGGCTGCCATGATAAATTTCCAGAAGACGTGACTTAAAAAGCTATGCCTGCTACTTTTCTATCCAGAAAAACTATTTCTAATCAATATCACATGGGAATAATCCGCTGGCTCTATAATCATCTCCGGGTTAGGACAGCAGAATGTACACAAATGAAAACATTTCTACATAAGACAACAGACAACTTCTGCTTTCAGTGGAGCACTCTAAGGGAGTAGGAAGATGTCTTAATGTATTTGTAAGAAACCTATGACTTCTGCCAGCCGAGAGCATTTTTGAAGTGGATTTGGAATTGAAGGATTCCTCTAGGACCTGCCTTGACCTTTGGGACTTCTCATTATCAACCCAGATTCTCACAACTGTGTCTTACTTTGCACTGGGAAAAATTGGGGCTGTGCCATTTCTAATTTGTTTCTAATAGTATACAGATCTCTACTGGAAGAAAACCACCTCACCCTTTGCTTTGCAAGGCAAGCAAAAGGGAACTTCACTCCCCACTCCCTAGTAGTCTACTCATAGGTGCTCTATGACATGCACATATTTACCTACTGCCCTCTGCTCTAGAACTTAAAGAATATCATTCTCTGAGTAGAGGATATTTTAAAAGGGCTTTTAAGACTATATCAAAAGAACAGAGATTGAACCTGTGTTTGACTTGACTAATTGCTCTAAGAATGTAGGTTGAAGAGATCTCAGTAGCTGCCCTGAGACATTTCAAATCCACTGAATACCTTTCTGATGAAACAAGCAGAAATATCCTACCTTCAGGAGTCACACTGAGTATCATAAAAGAAAAAAAAGTCCACATTTCACTGCACATGAAGAAAGCAGGCAGTGGCTGCAAAAGCTTTTATCTTTAAGGCTTGCCTTGTCTCCAACCACAGCCTAAGATTTAAGTGCAAGACAAGAAAGTCATTGTGGAAATAATAAGATTGATTTTAGAATTGATCTCCCACGAGGATTAAATAGGAATTCAAAATCTTCCAAACCAGGTCCAGATCAACTGTAAATTAGAAAGCCTTTGAGGCCCTGGGCTTTGATTTTTCAATATTACTATCTCTGAAAATTCTGCCCTTGGCTGTGTCTAAACCCGAATCCCTGGCTTAAACAAGACGCAGATTTATAGAGCAAGGGTTTCCAAACAGATTGTAAGAAATCCCAATCCTTCTCTGGCTCCCGCTGTGGAATTCCGGCGCGTTGAGCTGACTGGGGGCGTGCCTCTGACCCTCACCTTCCCCATCTCTAGAAGCTGCTCGGGTTCCTGGGGGAGGAGCTATGCCCCTGGCCGCTGGCCAGGGGAAGGGTGCCGAGGCACGGAGGGGAATCCCGGGCTCCCCAGCAGCACAGGCGGTGCGCTCAGTAGTAAGCCACACGGGAAAGGTCAGCTGCACCGCGGCCAGCCGGCCCCGGACCCGCTCCCACCGCTCCGCCTCACCTTCGTGGTGGAAGCTGCGCACCGTGTTGGCGCGGCTGGCCGCCCTCTCCAGCCGCTGGTCCGGGGCGGGCGCGCCGGGCTGGCCCGAGTGCCGGCGGTAGAGGTCCAGCATGTAGGGGGGCACCACGGCGTCCTTGCTGGGGGTGGGTCTCTGCTTCAAGCCGAACATGCTGAGCAGCCGCAACTCGAATTCGCTCAGGATGTCGTCCGAGGGCTGGGACGAGGGGCGGCCCGACGACGCCGCGAACTTCCTGCGGCCCAGCTCGGGAATCAGGCCGGCCGCGCCGCCCAGGAGGACCTGGGGAAGCAGCAACGCTAGAAGACAGCGGGTCCCGGCCACCATGGTCGACCTGCGGACAGGGCCGACGTGAGTCACCCGAGTTCCCCGCCCCGTCCTCCCGTCCGCCCACCCCCGCGGCCCCAGGCTCTCCGCCGCCGCTTCCAGGGTGCCCTCCTGGCGCGCATCGTTGGAGGGGTCGCCAGTCCTTGAGAGCTCCAATCCCATTCTCACCCATCTGACTTCTCATTAGGGGGTTTTGCCCTCAACTGAGCAGAGTCTGCGACTGCCACCTTTTTGTCTATGACACCAGCTCTGACAGTGAATGCTAGAAATCTGGGAGAATAATTTATCTGGCACCTTGGTCCCCTACAAATCCGCACATTGTCCAGTGCTCACTTGCGTATAAATATGCATCAACAGTGCATGTGACTTCCTGAGAGGCACTGTATATAACTTCCTCAGACACACACACACACATACACACACACATAGTCACTCTCACACATACCCACGCGCGCGTCTGTAACTTCCAGACCTGTAAACTCAACTTCTGAAGGCGCCTGCAACTTGGAGCCCACGCCCCTAACCTTCGGGGTGAACAACCGGCCACTCCATCACCTTGTGCCATCCAAAAACACAAGCAGCCTCCTGGGAGCCTGTAAATGGCTCCTATCTACTAATGCACATGTCAGCTGTTAAACACACTGGCACTGCAGCACTGCCCTCTTGCACTTGTGGAATCGAATCGAATCCATGAACTCCAGCTCCTGACCCTTTCCTCTCCTAGTGGAAACCACAGAATTCCTGAAGAAATCCAAAGAATGAATAAGGGATCGCCAAGGCCAGAAGTACAGGTTGGCGACTAAAGGCTGAAACCCAGGGGCCACTCAAAGAGATTTACCTATTTTTTAGTCGTCTACGTGTTAACAGGCTTGGTAATATTGAAAAGAGGAGGGACAGTCAGGGGAGATGGGGCAGGGGCGTCCCGCTGCTCTGGGCTGCACGTGGACCAGCTGGGGTCTGTTTATGTCCAGCCCGTCCTACCCCGGGGAGGCCCAGAGCCGGGAGCCGCGTCCCCCACACTAGCCCGGGCCCGACCCCGGCCCCGCGTCCTTTACCTTTAGGAGACCGCAGTCCGTCTAGGAAGCACGCGGAGACACGTCCATTGAAAAAGCCTCCACATGGAAAAAGCTCCGTCCGAAGAGCCGGCGCAGGGACCGGGTGTCCGTCCCCTTTCCTGGCCGTACAGTCGCCTGCTCGCGCCGGGAGCAGCGTCCCGGCTCGGCCCGGCGCGGGGTGGCGGGGCTCGGGGACGACCCGGCTGGATCCGCCGGCCGGTGAGAGGCACGGGCGCAGGCGGAGAGCACGAGTCACTCACTCTCCCTGCAAGTTCAAGAAGTCTCCAGCCAAGTGCTGACACACAGCCGCGAGCGGGGGGAGGAGTGCGGGACCGGGCGAGCACGGGAGGGGAGAAGAGAGGCTGCTGCCGTCGCCGTCCTGGGGCGCCGGAGCTCTCGGGACGCGCGGCCGGCTCCGGGGCTCGGGGCTCGGGCGTTCGGCGCTATCCCCGCCGCAGCGCCGGGCTCGGGCCGGCCATCCTGGGCGACGCCGGGTCCGCGGAAGGGCGCAGCGACGATCTGAGTGCCGGGCGGCGGGCGGCGCCCCCGCATCACTCCGCCTTCCTCCAGCGCTGCCCCACGCGCGCTGGCCGGGGGCACCCGCCGCGGCTCCGGCGTGCCGTCCTCGGGCGCATTCTCCCGCCGGTCCGGCCGAGTCCTGGGCGATGGGGGCGGACGGCCGTCCTCTCCTAGCCTTCGGGCCGAGTGTCTCCGCGGCCAGCCCCGGGTCCGCTCACACCGCGGCCGGCGCGCCCCCAGCTCCGGCTCCCCGGCGGGGGACGCCGGGCATCGCGGCGCTCGCGCTCCGCTCGGGGGTCCGCGGCGCTCTGCGCGCCTGTGCGCGGGTCCGGCGCGGCCCGGGCAGCCGAGGCCACAGCGACGCGGCGCACACGGCGGGGCGCCTCACTCCGCGCGGGTCGCTGCCTGTGCTCCGCGCGGCGCTCGCCCCGAGGGCGCGCGGGGCCGCGGCTGGGCTGCGGGCGTCCGGGGCGGCGCTGCGAGTGCGGGCGCGGAGCGCGGCGCGGCGGGGCGAGGACTCCGGCGACGGCGGCGGCGGCGGCGCTCGCGGCTTTTAAAGGGGACGCCGCCTGCCGGCTGCCTTTCGGCCGGGGCGAACACCTCCCCCTCGGCAGCGCAGCTCGCCGGGGATCCCCGAAAGGAGGGCGGGAGCGGCGCGCAGGGGTGTGGACGGCGCGCCCGGGCGGCCGCTGCAGGGTGGGGCGGAGGGCGGGGGCGTGAGGCCGCGGAGAGCAGACCCTGGAGAAGTCGCCTTCGCGAGATCCGGCCCACATGCAGGACCTCTTGTGTCCCCACTGGCCCGTTATTCAACTTTCGTTTTGAAGTTTTTCTGTACTAGTCTATTTTTTTTTTTTTTTAAGAAATCAGGTTACAAGGTATCTAGGCTGAGAGTTGGAGTAAACACTTGTGTTTGTTGGGGTCTGGAGAATTTAAAGAAAATGAGGGTGTAACGTGGGTGTTATTTAAGTGTGAACACAGATTTGTGTAGTTACAAATGTGAATGCATTTTGTGCATTCATACTTACATAAATACATGGGTACATTTATATTCAAATAACATATCTAATATACAGAAATGTATGCCAAGGTTTCTAAAAATGTTTTTTTTATGTAAACAGAACGAGCGGAAGGTACCAGTTTCTATGAACAGGTCTGTGTAAGTGATGCTGGGGTCTCCTGTTCATGCCATGTGTTACCTGGACTGTGTGTGGCGACCTGAGAGAGGGGGAGGGGAGGGACTTTCTTTCTTTCTTTCTTTCTTTCTTTCTTTCTTTCTTTCTTTCTTTCAGGTAGCAATCACTGTGATACTTATCTTACCCAACTCTGAGGCAAGCGATAAGCAGCTCAGGGGAGGGTACAATAAAGCATGGTGTGAGCTAACCGTACAAAACAATTTGGGACCTTCCAGCCTTTTCTACCCCACCCCATTCCACCAGGTCCCCAGAAGTGGAGTCAAGTGTCCAAGTCACCGGTCTTCCTTGGCTGAAATACTCCCCAAAGCTGCTGCACTATGAATCTCCTGGGAATGGTTGTCATCCCTCCTGGGATTTTAGAAGCACGGACAAGTTTCTTGCATGACCCCCAAAGCCAAAGGCTGAAAAGGCCGGATAGTTGCCATCAGGCTCTGTAGCAGACCTTTGAGGCCTGCACCAGGGAGACAAAGAAAACTTTTTTTTTTCAGTTGGGGAGCTAAAATAATTCTAGGCTTTGCTCACATAAATTGGATTAGCAACCCACAGAGGGGTGTTGGGCACTCACTGTGAAGGTATAAAGGTCAAATGAGGTATTTTGGAGGATGCTTGCCTACTAGGAAAAAAAAGAAGGGGGTTAAAATATTCAGGAATATACTATTTTGTTCTTTAAAAAAAGTACCATGGAAGTTGTCACTCTGAATCACTGGACACCAAGCAAGTCGGCAGTAAAACATGTTCTCCTCATAGACACTTAAGTCAAGAAGTGTTTATGATACTTCCGAAACCATTTCCTTCCCCATCGAATTTAAATGAGAAGTTAACAATTGCTTCTGTCATCAGTGAGGTTTTAAAAACAAAACTAAATAAAACCTATGTGGGACTTAAATCAGCATGTTGCTTTTAAAGAGGAAGAGAAAGCTGATAGCTGTTGGACACACCCCAAGAAAGGATGAAAAATGAATCTGGTGATGACATCAAAGATGTCTGGCAGCTTTAGGCTTTCATAATTTGAGAAATGGATACCTTGTCAGTGCACATGATTTTGATAGTCAAACTGAGGGGAAACTTACATGTCTGGACATTCTATCCTGTGTCAGTATCACCCTCCACAGCCCTCTTTTATGTAGAGTGTGTGATTTCTGAGGGGCTGCTGAATACTTTTCTGAAGCAGAGCTTTTCCTACAATTTGGCCCTATTTCTCCTTTTGAAGAGCAAGGCCGGCTGGTTGTTTTTTAGATATGGCTGCCCTCTTGTGGTGGATGTGAGTTGCAACGTTCGTGAGAAAGAAGTAGCTTAATTAAAGAAGTAGCTTAATTAGTCTGCAAAGGCAGATTCGGGTACAAAGTACAAGGCTGATGCAGAGTACATTTTCCAGAAAACAGCAATAGTCAGGGTTGATAAACCTAAATAGAGATAATTCATTTCTTTTCATTCTGTTTCCCATGGGCCACTTTCCACCTGCAATTTAAAATTTGGGGTGATTTGATACTTTGAGACCACATTGTCTCTTTGCTTCCAATGTAGCAACTACTGCTGCCCTGGTTGCATCTGTTTTTCAAAGGCTTATTCAAAGGTCTTGGGTCCTGGTGCTGAGATTCCTTCTGAGTTTATTAGATTTAATGTGTCTTCCATACAAGTGGCGAGGTATAGGCATGGGTGGGGTGGGTATTTAGTTAAGCGGTAGTGGTAGTGGAAAGTGCAGACACCTCAGAAAGGACAGGCAACCAGGAAAAAGTGCAGAGGGCAAGGTGAAGATTCTATATACAGACAAAGACGGTTATTGCTTTAACATTCCAATCCTTTCTTGCGAGTTTTTCAAGAGTTACCGGAAATCCGTAACTGATTGTGTGTGGACATGACCTGGGATGAAATTAAGTGCTTAAAGAGTCATACTTTGGCAACTTTTCCTTTAGCAGTTCGGCCCTGATAATGTTTAATTTTATTGCATCCTGCAGCTATTAGCATTGTTCATACTAGGCCAACCATTATGCAGATTAACACTGAACTAATGATCCTCATGTATTGTAAAGGTCACAGCAGGCATGACAGGATCCATCTACCTTGTAATTGTCATTCCATTGAAACCTGTGGCAACTCCCCTGAGAAACCTCTTGGCTTTTAACATATGTGTCATTTATTACTCTGTGACACCCAGCCCCAGTCCTACTTATTTGCTCAGTGAGTTGTTTTTTTTTTTTTTTAACAAGAACTAGGAGCCACAGAGAAAAAGAGCATTCATTTCATCAAATTTACACCTATTTAATGCTTGATTAGCTATAGTAGGAAGGATAGATAGAATGGAGTGATTTGGATGTGTATGGAAGCCAAGTTGGCCAAGAGATAATGTTTTAGCCTATCCACTGAACATTGTTTAATTAGCTTATAATGACATAGGTGTGCATCTGGCCAGTGACATCAAAACATTTGGATCTTGTGTTTATTAGGTTCTGAAGAGTTAACCACAATATTTTTCACACAAACACTCTTCAAATTTTATTGAACAGTGATGAAACCTATGATGCTCTGCCACGTAGGTCCCAGTGAAAACAAATGTACACAATCTCTACACATAGTTTATTTAGACTTCAGTGGGAGAATGTAATGTGTTCACAGGTAGGTACTAAACACAAAGCATATGAGGTAAGAACTTTAAAAGAAGTGAGAAATGAACTATCGCTGTGGTTTCAGTGGAGAGCCATCTAAATTCTGAAATGGGGGCTCCATAGATCCAGTGAGAGTGTTCCAGAGGAATATTTGGGTGTGTAGGATTTCAGTAAGCTCAGCAGATATCCTTATGACCAACATCAGCATTCATAGCAGCAGACTTTCCATCAACACCATTAATTACTGAGCTGTAGGTCCTAGATGCTTTTCATTTGTTATTGATTGCATTTAATCCTCCTATAAACTTTGCACAGTGGGCGTTATTAACTGTTTTACCGATAAAGAAACTGGATAGAAAGGTTAAGCCATTTCCCCAAGCTCACACAGCTAGCAAATAACACAAACGGTACTTTATTCTAGAATTTGTGTTTTTGCCTCTCACTACCACCACTACCACACTAATCCGCTCTCAGTTCCATTTAGTGGAACATACCTAAGCCAAGACATCAGGTGGAAAAATGCAGGATGAGGTCCTGAGGAATATGAGGAGTTAGCACAAATTTGGAGGTGGGTTTGGGTAGAAATAAGGCAGTACTAGGCGGTCAGTCTATTCTTGAGGCGGGTGATGGTCCCTCTAGAGGGGCAGGTGAAGGGAGCCTAACAAAGGAGTATTGCAAAAACTCATGGCGGAGTGGAGGGAGAATGGTAAGAGACAGTGAAGTATGAGGCCCACCGCGGGAAGGGCCGGCAGGTCTCGGGGGCCCTAGATCCACCCAGCACAGGAGAAGCAGCTCTGAGGGCCTCCGATGCTGCAGCTGAAGGAGAATCATTGGCAGGAGTGGGAGCTGACAGAGAATGAATGCCTCAACCTTTCTCCTCTCCTACCCTCTGAGCATCTGTGGGCCCTAATCTGTTGCCCTAATTTGGAAAGGGACAGTGTATTAGTTGTGTATTGCTGTATAGCAGATTGTCACGAGCTTAGTGACTTAATGCTCACTTATTATTTCTGTAGCCTGAGAATCCCAGCATGGCTAGGCTGGGACTCTCAAGATCTCACAAGACACAGTTGATACTGGCCAGGGCTGGAGCCTTGCTAAGGCACAGAATCCTGTTCCACACTCATGTGGTTACTGGATGAATCTACTACCTTATAGCTGTAGGACTTTTTCATGATCACTTCTTTCATCAAGCCAGCAGGAGACCACCTGACTATGAGACCCTCTCGGCTGAGTATATTAGGCTGTCCTAATACCATCAACATTTTGAGTAATTCGTATTCAGTTGCTTAGGAATATTACTTACATCTGCAAAAACCACTTCACTGGTATGTGTAGCATACCCTATAATGGGAATAAAATCCTATCGTGTTCATAGATAAATTCTTACTCAGGACCAGGGAAGCAAGACATGGAATACACTTAATGATATCAGCACTCAGAGAGGCTGAGGCAGAGCACACATCTGAGCTCAATATGGGCGGCTTGGTATTTTGTGAGACCCTGTCTCAAATGCTTAAGACAGCTGGGGATATAAGGCCCTAAATTTAATCCCAGTACAAAAACAAACCAAAACAAAAACAAAACGCACAATGTAGTATACTGAGTCTATGAAGCAGACTCTGGGAGTCCCAAAGGACACAAAGCAAGGCACAAAGCAAGACAGAGTGTAGTGGGGTGGAAAAAGAATATCCAGCAGAGGAAGATGTGATGGTAAGCAGACTCCAAGACCTTGAGACTCACAATTGTGAGCCTAATGAGTTTGTGCTCTATCCTGTGTAAGTGGACCACTGTGTAAGGATTTTACTGATGTGCTTAGAATGTGCATTAGGAAGCATAATGTCACACTCAGTAATAAGGAGGAAGGAAGTATAAAAAGAAATTGTAGACCAAGATACCAGTGAGTAGCTTTTATAACTATATCCACAAGTGGCTACAGAGGTCTACAGTCCACATAGAAATTAAGGCCACATGAAAGCTCAGCAGAGATCTGCTGAGAAGGGTGTGGCATGTGAGTGTTGAAGCTTTGGAGACAGGAAGAATGGAATATTTGTAGGGACAGAGGCTGCATGGCAAAAAATACCCAACACACACACACACACACACACACACACACACACACACACGCACACAACAATGCAACAGCAACAAAAAGGTAGTAGAAGAGCACTTAACAAAGATCGGTATGAACAGAAGCCAAATGGGAGGCTCAGGTTTTAAAAGAACCAATGAGCCTCTGGTTAGATATCCTCATGGAAATCTAGAACAGGTCCCTAGACATTAGGCAGGAGTTTAGGGAATTTCAGGTTAGCGAATGGAGTTGTGGCGTTGTGTGCTAAGGCTTAATCATTGGAACAGAAAGATGTTATTATTTAGATCTAGCATGTCTCCTAATCTTATTTGCTCAGAGGGGGGCTTTTGAAGGTGATGGGCTCTGGGGGCACTATATGCTACTATTTAGTTTATAGGTAAATGTGCTTAAGAAGGTGTGGCTTGTTGGGAAGAAGTGGGTCACTGGGAGCGTGATCTGGAAGGGTACTTCTGCCCTTCTAGCTCCTCTCTTCTCTCTCTGTGCTTCCTGGCCACCATGACAGGAGCAGTTTTTCTCCGCAGCAGGCCCTTACAGCGTGCCATTTCTGCCCTGGAGTCAGCCAAGCATGGATTGGAACTTCTGCAACTGTAAATCTTTCCTCCTTTAAAATGCAGCTGTCAGATGCAGGTCCCCATGATGAAGAAAGTGATTGTAACAAAAGAATTAGCAAGCAAAGCCATAGATGTCACTTTCAAAGTGTTCACAGAAGTGAAAAAAAAAAGACTTTGATAATCTGTCATGGAAAGCAGAAGAAGAGAGTTTTCAGAAAAGGCCCATCAATAGTCTTAAATGATGATGACCAGGGAACAATAGAGTTATGATGTTTCTAAATCACAGATGCAGAAGAAAAATAAAAGAAGAAGACCACAGGGGATTCAGACAGAACCCTTTAGATTTATCTAGCAACTGTCACTAATGCCTTCAATAGGATAGCCACAAATCTTTATCCTCAAATAGCTTTTTAAACTCAGACTTTGTGGTAGAAACCCAACATCACCTAGATATTTGCAAAACTGTGAAAAATACTGAGATTTTTATGCTTAGTGACTCACTCAAGATAACTTTCTGTCTAGTATATCACCTCAGCTTCCTACTCTTTGTATTTCTTAGTGGACAGAGCTATGCAGAAAGGTGACTTTACAAACGATGCGGACCTAAGGTCTCACCTGTGAGGACCTGTTGATGTCTTAGCTTTTTATCAGGACTTGACAGAGGTCTATGAGAAAGCTCATCGTCTCCAAACCAGAACACAGCTGCTCCAGAGAGTTTGTTCTGAAAGACAAGTGAGATGAAAACAAAGATAAAGAATTTTTAAAGATATCAGATAGCTGGAAATGTCCTTATCTGATCCAGAACATCTACTATCATACATACGCAGGGCTTTGAACTGACAACTAGCCATAAATGAGATGAATTGGTAAGTGCATTTATAATGATTTGAATGTTTAGCAAAATAAGGTCTTGTTTCAGTCTGACTTGATCTTAAGCTCCCTATTTCAGGTCCCCCAGATCATCTCACTTGATTTCCCAAGAGGAACTCTGAATCCCACAAGAAAGGGCTCTTTTGGTCACCTACATGTTGCATTCATTTGTATTCTTTTGCCTTCTTTATAGCTTTTGGGGACATTTACATTTTTTACCACAGTCTCAATCATAGTGTATCTTTTGATTTTATTGGATAAGTAGGAAGATCAAATAATCTATCATCTAAACAGGTACCTTTTTTTTAGCAAGAAATAAGAAAGTCTTTGTTATGGCTTGTGACTAGATTTCTCCCCAAAGCTTGATGCAGTCACGGGTGGGGCTTTTTTCAGAGGTGGCTGAATCTACAGTGGGATTGCTCATGGTGCAATTCTAGGATTAAGGGTGAGTGGTTACTAAATCAGTCCAAAAATTGTTTTGGCACCACCCTGAGCCCAGTACTCCGAGAGACAGAAAGAGGCTTGTCTTGTCCTTTATTGTTTTGCTACCTTCCACCCACCATAAACTGTTTCTCCTCCACAATGCCTGTCTGCCATGCCACCCTGCCTTGAGGCAGCCAATTATGGACTGAAACCTCTACAAACTGTGAGTTAAAGAAACCTTCCTTCCTTAACTTGTGAGTGTTAAGTATTTTGTCTCAGCAAGAAGAGAAAAATAACTAAGACAAAATTTGGTACCGGATGAGTGGAGTTATCTATGACTACATCAGACCATGTGGTTCAGAAGCCTTTGGGACTGGCTTATGGAAGGAGTTTGGAAAGATTCAGACATTCCAGCTGAATGTATTTGATGGCTGTACTTGATGGGAAATTCCAGTCAGAAGACCAGAAGCCTGATAAAAATGTTGCTGGTAAAGAGTGGGCTCAGATGGTTCCTGCTAGGAAGAAGGGCAGCATTGGCTGTTGAAGTGCAGAGCACGTGTGTTATGGCTTGGCAGAAAATTAGTCTACATTTTCCTCATGCCCAGAGACTTTGCCTGAGACCAAGGTTAAGGGCAGTGGACTAAATAGTGTTGCAGAAAATGTTTCAAAAGAGTCTCATGTTGAGGCCATAGCATGACTACTTTTGGAAACTTTAACCCAGATTTATGTTGAGAATCAAGAGTGAAGAGCTCAGAAAAAGGAGTCAAAATTTTGTGATTTTGGCCAGAAAGGAAGCTTCAGTAAAGGAGCAGCCTATAAAGATGGAACAGAGGAAAAATTGGTCACTGGAAGCACTATCAAGAAAAAGACGAGTTTGTGAGAAGAAAACAACAGAAAAGATAGACTGAGAACAATACAAGAGGACTCCAATCTTTGCAGCCTCAGAGTTGTAAAAGGGAAAGACTGCTTTGAGAAGGGAGTCACAGAGGATCACATTCTAAAATGAAAGTAGTTAGGGTATTCATTCCTTGGGATTTGGTTCAGAGTGCTCAGAGATACAGGCACTCAGCCCTACACCCAGGAAAGAAGGTAGCCTGACTATTGCTCCCTCTGGTAGCAAATCCTGGCATCACCCACATGATTCTGGTTTTAGGTGCATGCAGAACGCAAGAGTTATATTGTCAGGAAGGCTTCTACCCATATTTCAGAATGTCTGAGAGGTCAGCCAGTGTGCCCTTGAGAGGGTAGTGTGTGAAGTTGGGAGAGTGAAGCCAGAGGTGCAAGGGAGACTGCAAATATTTGGAGAAGCCAGGTACACGGAATGTTGGAGGATAGCTGTAAGGAGGGTGCAGAGCTGGTCCAAGAGAGAAACCATAGGAGCTATTTCCATCAGAAATGCTGTACAGGCAGAGCCACTCAAGCCCTTTGGAGTTCACCTCTTGCTATAGACTGCCTCCCATGCTGTTCATGGAAATATAGGGCTTAATGTTTGCCCTCCTGGATTTTGGACTTACTTTGGTCCCATTCCTTTGTATTTGTATCTTTTGGAATGGTAATGTCTATTTTGTGCCATTGAATATTGGAAGTGTTTAACTTTCTTTTCATTTGTACAGCGACTAGCAGCTACCATTCTGCCTTAAGTCTCAGAAAAGACTTTGGACTTTGTCTTTTCAGCAATGCTGAAACTGTTAGGGCTTTGGCAATTCTTGGAGATGGACTAAATTCATTTTGCATAGAAGGATGTGTGTGTCTTACAGGTGAAATGTTATGGCTTGGGTCTAGTTGTCCTCCCAAAGCCTCATGCAGTCATGAGTGGAGCTTTTTCAGAGGTGGCTGAATCTGGAGTGGGATTAATTCATGGTCAATTCCAGGACTAAAGGTGCCAGGATTAAAGGTGAGTGATTGCTAACTCTGTGCAGTAATTGATTTGGCAGCGCCCTAAACCCAATACCCTGAATACAGAGTAAGAGACAGAAAGAGGCTTGCCTTGTCCTGTTGTTTTACTATTTTCTTACCAGCATAAGCTGTTTTTTTCTCTGCAGTGCCTGTCTGCCATGCTGCCCTATCTTGGAGGCAGCCAGTTATGAACTGAAACCTCCACAAACTGAGCTAAAGAAACCTTTCTCCCTTAACTTGTGGGTGTTGAATATTTTGTCTCAGCAAGGAGAGAAAACTAACTAAGATTCTAATATACTGGAACAACAAGAGTAAACTGGAATTGTCCTGCACACGCGGGGCCTGTGGTTGTATGTATAAAGCTTTCCCTGATGTTTCTATATCCCGGCTCATCACCTGCACTGTTTTTGGTCTGTGTCACTTGATTTGGCATTAGTTTTAGAATATTTTATAATGACTCTTAAAATTCCCATTTATTTGTAATATCCTTAATTTATTAAAATTTTTTGTGAATCAATGCTATCTATCAAAGTACATCTCAGTAAATACTTATAATAATAAATTCTTCTTTAGTTCAGTTTGACTTTCCAGGTTCATTTAATTATTCCATCTTTTTCATTTTTATAAACACTTATTTGCAAATTAAGAAGCACCAGAGAATTAAGTACATATAAAATAGATTCCTTCCTTGATTTTAAACTACTTGAGATCAGTACATGCTTAATAAATAAATAAAAATAACTATTAGATGAATTCACAGAGTATCTCCAAGTCCTTAAAAGACTTTCAGTGTTGGATTTAAAAAGATCTGATAATATCACAGAAAAATAATCAGTTTATAAATGAAACTTTGGACATTAACACAACTATTGTCATTACTGTTCCTTTGTAAGTAGCTTTCTCAGATGCTTTATCTTCAATGAATGAATAATAAATTTGGCAATAGAAAAGCTGATACAAACCATGGAAAGATATAATAAGAAACAATTATCAAAAATTATCTCCAAATAATGAATGAAATAGTTGAAATTGTCTGAAGAACTTTAACAAAATCAGCCAAAGTATTATATATTGGCTTTCTTGAAGCATTTCTGTGTGATTATTTATTCTTTACAGGAAGAAATATCCCAGGAGAATAATGTATTTGCAATTCTGATTAATACCTAGGGATTCTTCATCTACTTAAAAACTTTATTTGCATGTATTTGCAACTTTCACACATGCAGGGCCACATGAAGTCTTCTAAGCCTGGCACAATTGCCTCTCAACTGTCATTCTTGTGCATCTCTCTGAAGGGCCTTTGTGGCACTGGCTGCAAATTCGTTTCATCTCAGTTATCTGTTAATTCACCAGACACAACAGTCTGAGTGGGACCCAAAAGACTCTTATCCCTTCTCTAATTATATAGAAACCATGTATGTTGAGCAAATACTTTGGTGTATATGTCACCTGAAAGATTTTAAGAAATGCCTGATTTTTTTCTTCTTTCTCTACTTTATAGTGATCATGAGGTCATGCTGCAGCCCAGATGTAGCCTACACATCAATGTCTCCCAGGACCTCTTCAACATTGACTGCGACAGTACCTACCTGATTGCCAAATAAGGACTTTTTCTCATCTGGTGCAATTTGCCCACTTGCACTGCTGGTCAGATATACTAGGGAGCTAGCACCTCCAATGGTAGCTCTCCACTAATAATCAAGAGTCCACTATACCGATAAGTAGGATAACTCTAAACTGCATAGCCTAGAGGACCCCAGTGTTTCAACCAGCCACATGATGACTGGCATGGTAATATACACTTGATAGAATTCTTGCTTTTCCCTGCCTCTTCTTTTTCTGTATAATTTTGTTTTTTCACATTCTCCTAACCTTCCCCAATCCTTGACAACAAGCTAGCTTCTGGAGGAACTCAAAATAAATGCTGGATATTCTACTGACTTGAGATAGTGTCTCTCAAAATTTAAGTTGCATTTTACTTTGCTGAGAATGAAATAAAACTATTGACTTTAGAGACGTATTTCCTGCACTTGATTCATTTATTCATCCCATAACTTTCTTTCTAGGCATTGCTAGGTTTCTGGAGTGACAAAGCTGAATATCATGATTTACACACATTGATCACATAGCCATTTAAGCAAGGTACAGGAATTGAACCATGAATAGAGTTAGTACCTTCACCTAGAGGTTGGAAACGTTTTCCTGGGAGGCCATTGCACTTGCATTGGATCATGAAAACTGAGCAGGTGTTGGGCCCATAGACCAAGAGGGGGAGGGAATTCCAGGCAGGAGGAACAGCAGGGGTAAAGGCACAAAAGCATGAAACATCAAGATGCATTAAAGAAATGATCAGCAATTAAGCATGACTGGATGGAGGCACAGAGAAAGGTGCCAGCATTTCACTGGCCAAAGGAATTTTGTCTTTTCCCTCATAAAATCTACTGTGCTTCTTAGAGAAAATCTCTTTGGTAGAAGTGGGCATGATGGTTTGGAAGAGAGCCAGATTATAGGCAGAAGGACGCATTAAAAGGTGGTTGTAATTACTTAATCAAGACACAGGGATTCCACGCACGCAGCGGAAGCATAGGGTGAACAAAAAGACTATAAGAAATTGAGAAAGTTAAGATTTGATGAGACTTAATGACCCAGGGGGGATGAAAAAGGAGTTAGAATGAAAATGCAAGAGGAGGAGCATACTTTATGTATAAATACATAGTTATGGAAAAAATTTTTGAGGATAACCTCAAACTCTAAAGTCTCAGTTCTTACAGTTGTCAATGATTATATCCTCAAGATTATTCCTTTAATTATGCTAATAAATATCAGATAGATATATTAACTCCTCCTCCAAGGAAGGAGTAAGCATCTTAGACTGTCAGGTAGCTGTTATGTACTTAAACAATTCATTAACAAAGGACCATTTTACATGTGTAAAGTGCTAACATATGGGATATATTAGGTCCAATCCATAGTAGAAATCGTTGTAAGATATTAAGGAAAACAGTTATAATTTCATTGACTGCCTTGGAGATTAATGTTAACAATAAATCTGACTTTCTATTGGTTTTTGCTAACTTGGAATTAATTCAGCCAGTTATTGATTCACCATCTTATCTTAACAAACTACTATGTCAGCAGAAAGTGTGGGGACCACAGGAGCCCATCATTTTACTGTCCTCATGAAAGAAAACTGACAAACTGTGCCGTGATTTAAAGGTGAAATGAAAATGCAACATTACCTTTACTTCAATGCACATTACACACATTTTTAAGAAACTGTCATTGGACACATTTTAATCTAGTTTTTGAGTATTTGAAGTGTGGCTGGTTTCCTATAATGAAAACCCTAGGGCTATGTTTATGACTAAGGATTATTCTTATATCAGCTGTTAATGTGGAAAACTATAGGAATTGTATTATGTAATCATCCTAAGATTTTCAGAGAAGGAAGGAAGGACAAATGGGAAGGAAAAATGAAGAGAGGGAGGGACAGAGGAAAGGAGGAAGAAACAAAGAAGGAAACAGAGGAGGGATGGAAGGAAGAGGAAAGGGATGGAGGGAAGAAAGAAATAAAGAAATCAGATCTATATACTTGCTATTTGTTCATTTCTCATGTATGTAGTTTAATGAAGGGGAGAAGACTTCTGATTCCTCAAAATCCCTTGTCTGAATTCAGAGTAATTTTGACTTTCTTCACTTTAGCTAGGGTGTTAATACAGGATTCCAAAGTGCTCAACAGAACTGGACAAAACAAATACAACTTGTCTATTTTCAATATGAATACTTTGGTGTAATTCAGCTCATTCATGCATTTTAAATGACTACAAAAGTTACTAAATATCTGAATTGCACTTTCATGTGTCTGCCTTCTTTTGCAGCAATAAACAAATGAAGTATTTTTAGACAGGCAGTAACTCTTTTACGGATCAGTTGCCTCTTGTTTCACGTCCTGTGTCAGAAACTAAAAACTCAAACCACGGGATTCCATTATTTTGTTGATTTGGCTTCTACCTTACCTGCAATCAAGCCATGAAAGAAAATAAATGACACTAGCTTCTCCACCACTGTCTTTCTACCTTTTTGAAAAATAACTTGAGTGAGGTGAATTAATTGTGAGATGAATGACTAATTAACATTCCCAACAAATGTGCTCTAATGAAACACATTCAGAGCTGACTTGGCTTTTCCTTGTGTTTCACACTGTTTTCTGAGCACTGTGGTCTCTCTTCCAAGAAGTTTCAACAGGAAAGCTTCCATGCATATCTCTTTTTAAAAGTTAAAATGTCATTTGTTTTTAAAGAATTTGACTAATAAATACGGATTTAATAAACTCAAAATGTATAATGTCATGACATTTATATATCTATGTACACACACATTGTGTAATTCACAGCAATCAAATTAACACATCAGTCATCACTCAGACTTTACATTAAATCCCTAAAACTTGTTCCTCTTATGAGTGAAACTTTATCCTTTAATCCATATGCACCACCCATTCCCTAACTTCTAGCAGCCAGCGTTCTACTCTCTACTTTTAAGTGTTCAAGTTGTGTGTGTGTGTGTGTGTGTGTGTGTGTGTGGCATGTTTTACATCACATAATGTCATGCTTCATCCATGCTCTTGCAAATGACAGTTTTTTCTTTTTAAAATCTGGATAATATTCCATTTATATCTGTACTTTAATTTATTTCTCCATTCATCTTTTGATAGCTCCTTAGTTGTTTCCATATCTTGGCTGTTGTGAATAAGGTTTTAACTAATTTAATAAAGAAATCTAAAGATGTATGCCCTGAAAACAAACACTGGTGCAAACAATTGAATAAGGCACAAGTAGACAAAAAGGTACCTTCTGACTGGGGGTTAGAAGAATTTCTATCATGAAAACATTGGCACCATCCAATGCAAGCTACAGATTCAATGCACGACCTGTCTAAATTCTAATAACAATTTTCAGAAAGTAGAAAAAAAATCCTAAAATTCTCATGACACCAGAGAGGACTCCAAATAGTCAAGGTACTCATTGTGAGCAAAAAGAACAAAGTCAGAGGCATCACAAGACACCACAGTGCACGATGAACATGCTAGCTTGTTTTCTGATGCTATGGCAGAATGTGTGGGAGTGGATATTTCATAAAGAGTAGAGATATGCTTAGACTACAGGTCTGGAGGCTTAAAGCCAACATCAGGTGTCCACATCTGGCCAGGGACTCAACTTCCTGATAATTATGCTGGAAAAGCAGAAGGACCAATGGGCAGAGACTAATGAGACAGACACAAGAGGCGGCCTTGCTTTGTAATGATCTGCTCTCAGAGAAACAAATCTGCCAGGAGAACCCATCTAGTCCCATTCATGAGGGTGGTGCTTCCATGATCAATGGCTGATCAATGGCTTTGGAAAAGTCCTACCACCTCTCAGCACTGCACGTGAAGAAGCAGTTTTTCCAGCACTGGAATTCGTGGGGACAGAGACTAATCGTGGCGATGGGGAAAGAAAAAAGTGTTTCAACAACTGGCCAGAATGAAAGGACCTTGCCCAGCACCAACACAAAAATTAATTCAGAAAATGTTAAAGACTTCAATGTAAAACCGTAAAACTCCTGGAAGAAAAAATAGGGGAAACACTTTGACATTGTTCTTGGCAATGATTTTTCCACATACAATACCAAAAGAGATAAGTAGGAAGACACTCAAAGCTTTCCACAGCAAAGGTTTAAAAACAACCAAGTGAATATGGACGGTGGAGGATAATTGCAGGCATGTTCCTAACAGAGTTTAAAGGTCTCCACAATAAAAGAAGCAGATTCAGAGGTGGAGAGCTCACTGGAGAGGGCTGCAGCCCTGCCAAGTGAAGCAGGCTGCTTGTGGAGAGGCAGAGCAGCTGGACTGGCCCACAAATAAATGGCAAAGGATTGTTTCGCTAACTGCGGTAGCATCGCTACCATTTTAAACCAAGTTATTTCTCCCTGTTTACAAAATAGTGAAATACTTTAGGGAATCCATTTTCATTGTAATGGGAGAAATTTACAGACTATTAAAATTAAATAATAATGTTTTATTTCACTTTAAATAGTATTTTAAAGCATTTCATAGATAAAAGGAAAGAAAGATGATTATAATGACCTGTGGTTCTGTTTCCCAGATAACGTATATTTTCTTAAAGAAATAACAATAGGACCAAGGACTTAGCTCAGTGGTGTAAGCGCTTGTCTGGCAAGAGCAAGGTCATGAATTCAGATCCCTGGTACCAACAACAAAGACTCCTATATTATAGGAGTTAGAACATTTAAATAGTACAAAAAGTATAAAATTAAAAGAAATTTATTTCTCCTATAAGTGATCTTTTATAAAGACAACCAAGATTTTTTTTTTTTTTGAGAGCGAGAGAGGGCTTCACTGTGCCATTCAGGCTGTTTTGAACTCGGTGATCCTCCTGCCTCAGCCTCTCAAGTGCTAGCATTACAGGAAGGCAACCAAGATTAACAGGAACATATGCAAACTTACGGAAACTAAGACATTGCACCCTTGCTAGACTATGCACACTTATGTGTACATGTGGGTACTGTGTGTTAATATGCTCCCCAGATGTCTGATATCATAGGTACTAATATCAATATATTCTTACTTTTTACTTTTTAAAATAAATTTGCTCTGCAGTTCTTTCTACACAGATTAACTTCTTTATTTTTAAAGGCAGTTTATTTGTTATCTTCTCTCCTGACAAACATTTCTTGTCAAAAAAGAAGTATTGATCTACTTTACTGTCAATAGAATCCTCATCAATTTTAGATATCATCAAACATTTATAAATTGATAAGGTATCAGAAGGCTGAGACATGAGGATCACTCTGAGTTCAAGGCCACCCTGGGCTACATAGTGAGTTCAGGACCAGCCTGAGCTATATAGTGAGAGCCTGTCTCAAAAATAAATAAATAAATAAATAAATAAATAAATAAAGTAAAAATGATCTCTTAATTTGTTTTCTTTTTATAATGAGAAGTCGAGAAACTTTTTATTT